TGGTGGATGTTTTTACCAATTACACCAGTGGGTTTTTTTCTCTTTGGGAGGGGGAACATCTCGATCCAATTTCCCTCTCCCAGTTACAAAAGTTTTTGAGAATTTTGAATATTCTTGGGATAGTCTAACTAGCATAATCGTGCTGCCACTTCTGAATGTACGTCAGGTTTTAACGTGTGCCAGACTACTCAGGAGGATCACCCCATCCGCTGCTGGAGCTACCCTGGCACCTGCTGCAGTGACCTCAACCTCTGTCACTGATAACTGCAGCTACTCCAGTTGCTTCAGCCTCGCTGACAAACACTACAGCCTCTCCAACCCCTAGAGCAGGAAATGCAGCTACTCGGACTGAGCTGTCCTAGCAAAAAAACAGGGCAGTTTTATTTTATTTCAATTATTAAATTGTTCTTATCACACCCTACAAGTCTCCTTACCCTCATCCCCCATTTCTCTCCCCTATCCCCTGGGGGGGGAAGTGAGCAAATGGCTGTGTTTGGCTGCCAGCCCAGTGAAACCAGCACAGGATGCCACTGTGTTAAGACTGGCAGGACCAAGAGGCAAAAGAGCAACTGAAGTGGATAACTGTGGAATTCAGTGCTAAGGAAGCATTTCATAAATTATAACAGAAGCAAAGCCTGCTTCTTAAACTAATTTTAATAAGGCTTCAAATAGTACCTACCACCTGTTCTGGAAAGGTATGTTGAGAACAAGCTGAACAAGCACCAGAAATACCTTTCATGTCTTCAAACATAAGTACTAAATCCCACTCCCTTGGATGAGCCTGTTCTGTATGCAATGCCCAGGGATTAGTCACTAGCAGAAATGCATACAAACGGGGAGATCTGACCTGGAAACAGGACATTACCACACAACACACGTGATCCTTCACCATCACTTCTGTCTCCTGCCAGTCACCCCAGTATGCACTCCATGGATCACAAGACTGAAGACAAAGGTATAAACAGTCTCTTCTAATGGAAGAAACTGCCCAGAACCAGCAAAAAAACTGCTCTAAGATAGAAATGTGGAGTCTCCAAACAGGCTGTGTCCCACTCCAGACACAATGGCTTTATATGCACTTCACAGAAATGTCAGCTGGAAGGGACCTACCTTTAATACATTCACCTTATTATATCCCTAGTACTCAATTGATCGCTGGAGGCTGCAGGTTCGTCCTGTTGCCTGTGAATGAGCAACATGAGCAATGAGCCTGCCCTTGTTCTAGCAGAAAAGACACTTGCAGGGAAGTTCACTCACAGACACACAGAACAGCACAGCTGATCCTACTAAGTCCTGCTGCAAGTTCACAAACAGCAGCTGCAGTCTTCTAACAGAACAGGCACCAAATTTTTGGGGAGTGTGAATAGGGAGCATCTCCAACAGAGCAACAGAACTGCACTAGCTTGTTTAAATAATTTGAGCTCTGTCCACAGGGAAGGTTCTAGAAAGACCAAATCACTGCAAACAATACAGTTAGTCATCTTCTTGTTGACAAGGGCTCAAAAGAATTCTTTGGCTGGACACATGCTCTTGTCGTATCTCTCCCAAGATAATCCACCATCCCTAAAACACTCTGTCCTGAGAAGTGGGCTGTCTTGCTCATGAGACACTCAGTTTGGGAGGCAAGCGTTACCTGAACTGTGCAGCCTCTGGGCCATACACTCTT